GGGTGGTGCAGAAAAGAAAATAGAAAATTAAAAATAAAAAAAAAAGTAAAATTTTTTTTTCAGGGGAGGTGGGGGCAGAGTGGATGGATGGTGCAGAAAAAAAGAAAAGAACATACAATTAAAAATAAAAATAAAATTAAAATTAGGGCAACCAAATAAATTTCTTTATAAATTGGGTTGAGATACCTTTTGTTTTGGGTGAGTTTTATGAGTTGTATTTGGGCTGCTAAATGGGTCAGAATGGGTTATAAAATATAATGGATTAACTTGGGCTCAACCCAAATTGATCCATGAGCTAAAATATTTATAACCCAACCCATTAATTTTTGAGCGGGTTAGGCGGGTTAGATGAATTTGGGCTCAAATTGCCACACCTAGTTTTCTCATATATATATATCAAAAGTCGCGCTTTGATTAATTTTACCTCAAGTAACTTCAACGCAAAATTTCAAGCATGATTTGTATTAATACATACTTCAAAAATTAGTAGAGAGCTCTTATGTTTCTCTACATTAAACAAAAAATAAATGATACCCTCGTAAATCACATGTGTTGTTATTATGATTTATTTACTTTATACCACTGTTTTAAAAAGCTTTTTTGGGACTCGCCCCGGAGCAGGCCTATCAAAACGCCTTGAGGCTCATGTGTGAGACTTAGTTCTCTGAGACTTACGCCCCCAAGCACCCGGCTGTGCGCCCTAAACACGCCTAACGCTCAACGTTTGGGACTCGCCCAACAGTTCCTATGCAAATCATGTGTTGAGTTCACGAATTTGCACTATTAACTCTCAAATTTTTTTAATAAATGAATGATTAAAGTTCTTTTTATCTATAGAAATATGAAAATTGAGAATAACTCAAATATGAACATATTATTGCATATTTACTAATTGGGAGGATCGGAAGGGTGAATATTATGTGAATATTTCTTCTAAAATAGATAACCAAAATTTATATCTTTACTTGATAGATCTGTAACAACCCAGCCCAGCCCGCTAGTGATACTGTCCGCTCTGGCCTAGGCCCTCACGGGTTGCATATTTACTAATTGAGAAGATCGTGAGGGTGAATATCATTTGAATATTTCTTCTAAAAATAGATAACCAAAATTTAAATCTTTACTTGATAGATTCGTAACAGCCCAATCCGCTAGTGATATTGTCCGCTCTGGGCCTAGGCACTAGAGTCCAAGGCATGTATACTTATATACCCAACATCTCTCCCGTGTTTTGTCGATTCCTTGCTGAGGTTTACCCCCACCACTGTTCAAGGATGCACACGGAGTGGCTCTGATACCATATGTAACAGCCCAACTCGCTAGTGATATTGTCCGCTCTGGGCCTAGGCCCTCACGGGTTTAAAACGCGTCACTAGAGCCTAAGACATGTCTACTTATATACCCAGCATCTCTACTGTATTTTATCGATGTGGGATTCACCTAGGGTGTCACAAGATCTTCATTCTTAGTTCTATGTCTCTCAAAATTATCATATATTTTTGGCGAAATACATAAACGGCCCCTTCAAGTTGTCCTCAACGGTCAGCCAGA